TTCCCTCCTCACCTCCCCATCTCCCTCTTTCCCATCATCTCACTCTTATTTTTTAAAAAAAAAGACTAGCAGCTGGCGTAATGGCTATGTCACTGGACTCCCATGTAGTCAACCACAGTTCAAGTCCTGGACCCAGTGGCTTAAACTCATGCCAGGCATGTGTGTGTGCGTGCCCAAGATCCCAAGAGGAGAATGGAGGAGAAGGGATTCTGGCATGGCCATACCCCCTGAGGGGTGATTTCTCACTTTCTGTCTCTCTTTCTGGCGAGCACACATGCCCTACAGCAAAAACCTCTCCAAAAAAAAAATAATAATGGTGCCAGCAGGTGGCATGGAGGCTAAGGCACTATATTTCACCTTACTGACTCCTCTGTGTCCTAGACCCAGCTGCTTAAAAAACACATTGGGCAAACAGCAGATGGCATAATGGTTATGTTGCTGAATTCACCTACATAGTCAACTGAGGTTTGAGTCCTGAACCCAGCAGTTTAAAATTCATGCCAAGTACGTGAGCATGCATACACAAAATTCTGAGAGGGCAATGGAGGAGACGGGATTAGCGTATGGCCATCCCCCCTGGGTGGTGATTTCTCACTCTCTGTCTCCAGTGAGCACACACGTCCTATAGCAAAAAAACATGTATTAAAACACTGGATGTGTATATGTGCCCTAAGTCCTGGGAGGGGAAAGGAAGAGAAAGGCCTGTGGCATGGCCATCTGCCCTGGAGAGTGATTTCTTACTTTTCCTGTGTCTGTGTCTCTCTCCAGTGAGCTCATGCATCCTATGGCAAAAATCTAAAACAATCAAAAAACAATTTTAAGTAAGTAAATAAACAATTTCTTTTTTCTTTTTGCATGTTTGGTATTAACTTTATTCTATTTTCTGTATAACTTTAGGTACATAAAGGTTTATTTCCACAGGCCTCAGGAAATGGGTAGAAGTCACAGGACAATCTCTTTTCCTACCAAAAAAAAGTTGCATATTTTGGTAAGTGTTTGTCCTAGAGAGAAAAACTGAAATCTATATTAGCAATGCTGTGTGATAATGCTTATATAAATCAGGACCTAAAACCAGCCTGCAGTGGAGGTTTCACACCCCTGTTCAGGTGCCTAGACAGAAGCCCTAAGCTGGTGAGCATGACAAGGAAAAGGAGGCAATGAAGATGGATGACAGGCACCCAGCACGGAAGGAGGAAGGAATGCCAGAGTCCTTGGAATGGTGTGTTGTTTTTTCCCTTTGTAAAAAGTTACCTCTGTAGGAAGGTGCTGGGCAGGGATCCCAGAGAAAGAAAGGGTCTGAGACGCCTTTAATGGTCCTGAATGAGGGGCACTGCTACAGCAGCTGGTACCGGAGAACCTATGGTCTCAAGGAGGCAGACCCAGGATGGAATGCAGAATGAAAGGAAAGCTCACAGGAAACAAGTTTGCTTGGAATGCT